TGTGAACGCAGTCGCTACCGCTCTCAAAGACTTTGTTTCGAAGAGATTGCCACCTCTGTTCGATCCTGAGGTCATGACAGAGATGGAAGAAATTGCTGGTACCAGGATGAAACCGATGGTGACTACTTCAGGTAATTTGGAGGTCAAGAATGACCGCAGTTGTAGATTGTTGGCGCTGAGGAGTATGCTGGATAAGTTGCCTCCGATAAATTTTCAGATCCTGAAGTTCATCTTCCAACATTTCGTCAAGGTCACGGAGAATTCCAAGTTGAACAGTATGGATAGTAAAAACCTTGCGATTTGTTGGTGGCCAACCCTTTTGCCGATAGAGTTTAGCGATATGGGAAGGTTCGAGCAGATGCGTCCTTACTTGGAAGATATTGTCCAGACCATGATCGATCAGTACCCTTTTCTGTTTTGTGGCAAAGAAGCGTTTGTGATGGTGTAAAGGCTTGAGAGATTTGTAAACCACGCACAATTTGCTACCATTGCCTCGTCACTCATCAGACAAGGAAGACTAGAGCAAAAAGCTCCTAGAAGGGCAAAAGTGATTAATCGATCATCCACCATCCACTATGGTTGCTTATAGAGGCTTTTTTCTCGATATTTTTCTGGTCTTTATTGTTGTTGAATATGAGAAAGCCTTTTTTGCTGAAATTCCTGTAGCAGAATGTTAGGATGTTCACTCATTGTCGTTGGATGTGTGAAGTCCCGGTGTAATTTGTATTTTTACATTATTGGAGTATTTCAGATTTGCTGTATGATACTTTTATAAATGATATGTATGAACAATGTTCAATGTAACCTTTGATGGGTCAATGTGTTAGGTTAGTGAATGTTATATATCTGTTTTTTCAAGGTATCAACGATCTTGTAGCCGAGAGCTACTTTTGTCCATTAATCGATATATTTGACTCGAATATTGTTCGTTGTCAGAGAATTGTAAATTGTTCACATTGGCAGAACTTTTTGAATGTAGCCATTCCTGTAAGAAACTGAAAATGCATAATACACATCATTGAAAATGTGTTTTTTACAAAGATGGCTACTTAGATAATCTATGGTAGATGTACTGTATTTGAATGGTGACTGTATAGTGTTAGATTTTCAACCCACACAGATACAATTTCACAAAGACAATAACGTCTGCAGCTGTAAAATACATGTTGACCCCATCATTTTTTCAATTGTCCTTCTTCACAATATTTCAACTCTCAACAGATTCTTCTTGGACAGCAACTTACTGATTCAACAATTGAAAATCAACCATAACATCAGAAATATGTTCAACTTGACCACTTTACGAGATTAGTTAAGTCATTTCAATGATTCTTGAATATTCAGAGGCATCTGTGTTTGGTTATCTCAGTGGTCATCATACAGATTTCGTTAGCGTATAATGAATAATTTCCTGGCTAATCAAATTTCAAAAAAGTATCTGAAAGCCTGTTTGTAGACATTCAAGTTGAACGTATTTTTCATGTTAGCAACAATCATCTTTACATTCCTCAGTGAAAAATGTTTTTCCACCACTGGCCCTACTTCCTCCATCTCATAATAGTGGTACATCAAGACTTAGCCACCTGTTATTGAGTAATCTGAATTCACCAGCGAAAATGTGGGAGAAATAACTGTTTGACTCATCATGATTCAAACTATAATGATAGTAAAACATTGCTAGTGGTGGAAAAATACGATATACACCTTGTTAGTAAAGGATAGTATTACCATGAAATTCTTCACTACCATGGTGTAATAACTATTGTGAGACTATTTTATAGATATATTAGGGTTTATAGAAATAGAACGAGGCTTCAATTAAATTCGTTACACATCGAATGAGGGCTACATCAATGTTGGAATTTTATGCCATTTTAAGTTGATCCGTACTATTGTTTTTTTGTAAATATGATTTTAAAGATTTTTTTCCAACATGTCACGGGACATTCTATTTATATTGAAATAATCACCATCAGTTTTATGATTGTTAATGTGGGCGATTCCTCGAATATATAATATACATGGGTGATTGGTGATTCTAAATTGAGCTACCAAGACGCTGCAAATTGTAATATCAGAAAAATAATTAGGAATCTATTTCTTCATGTTTGGTAGACCACTACTTTAGAATCTCCCATATTTCACCTAAAAGTCCAATAAAGAATGCAAGACTGAGTCACATGTAACCGACTTGCAGTGCCAATTTATATTTTCTAGTCTGCAATTTATTATCATTTTTCTGTCATAATTTTTATTGAAACAATATTCGAAAGAAATATACTCATCGTTTGGTGTTCGGCATAAATATGTTTATTTTAATATTATCCTGAAATATTTATTTCGCTCATGTAAACATATATTTTGGTGTTGGTTTTTTTACTAGAATTGTGAATGATCCAGTAGGTAAAGGTTATTAAATACAGCTCACTTCAACTAAATAATTATACAGAGTGTTTCCAAGTACTCGAGTAGCTAACTACATATCGATCATATTTTGTTTTCTTCCATCAACGATTGTCAGAAATGACGATGTCATTTCAAAATTTTGGCAAGTGATGAAACTACCTGTATATTTATTATTGAACAGTTATAACCATCGAGAAAAATATAAACAATTACAAAACATATTACCAACACTGAAATTCTTGATTAACCATATAGCAAAGGTTTTTTTTTATTTTAATTGCCTATTAGCTTTTTAGAATTGTGATATTTTTACTGTTGGGCACATTTTATCGTATGGGCTATCGTGATTCACGCAGCTTTTGAAAGGTCCAAACAATCAGACACAAATTCGGTCAATTTCATCATAGATTTCATTAAAGTGGAAATTTAGTATACTCAATATGAATCTCTTCGGGAAGTTTTTTGTTTGGCTGCAATTGAAAAGTTTGGAGATGCGCAGGTATCTTTAAAGCGCATTTTAGGAATTGAATGTGCATAACAATAAATGGGGTAAATCTTTATCTAGCACTACATCTCAATTTGTGTCATAGTTTTGGCGTGTAGAGCACAAACTTAAGCTAGTGAGGTCGGGTGAAATTCAGGTAAAAACTCTTTCACTACTTTTTTTGCATGAAAATGGTTGTGGTCACATGGTGAAGTGTCAAGAGGGTACCATCAACTTTTTTTTTCAAATGTAAAGAAGGGGTCGATTCTCTCCTCAACACTGCTTTGTTTGTGCAAATCGGTCAAGCCATTTCAAAGTGACAAGCGTTTGGAATTTGCTTGAAATATATTACAAATAAATAAAAAACCTAAATAACTATCAAATGCAACAAAATTTCGAGTACTAATTATAACAAGTGCTCGACATGTTCACCGTTCACTAATTGACAGCAAAAAATTCGGTTTTTGGAATCCATTCCGAACGTTATTTCATGTTTCTGATGTACATTTCAAACGCTTTGCCGATTCGCACAAACAAATAACTAGGTGCCACATGGCCCCCTTCATATTTGAAAAAAAAAGAATGTTGCCCCCTTGACACTAGGCGCCGTGACCACAACCATTTTCATGCCAAAAAATAGTGAAAGAGGTACCTTTTTACCTGAACTTTACCCTAGCTTGTTCCATTCAAAATTTGAAGGGGGGGAGGACTTTTACGTTCTCCCTGTATACGGTATACGTGAACACACACAAATACCTTCGGTTATAATTATTCCCTACCAAGACACAATTTTTTACTAATATCAGTAGACTATAAAGTCTTATCATGTGCTTTTCATTGGTTTTTGACAAGACATAAAAAGTGTTCATGATTTTCAGAGTGATAATATTATTTTAATCAAATTCGAACACATTCTCCCATATTTGTCATCATTGAGAGATATTTTGTCAAATATACAAATTACATAATCACATTGTGAAAATGACAGTTGGACATCGAAAAACATCGACCCCAACGAAACTTGGCAAAAATTAAGATAGTATTTCTAAGTGGAGATTTACCATAAATGGTATTAATTTTTAAAGAATGTGATTTTGTACGTCGCATACGGCTTCAGATACTCGAAATGTGAATTTATTGGTTCCAAATAAATTCAGTGTACAATATGTGGATATTTCGTAGATCTCTTAATGCTAGGTTAAGAAATTATTCTTATTGCTAGAATGTATATATGTAAACAAATGAAACAATGTTTATTTATGCTTTATATTTATTCACTACTTATGCTCTTTCAGGCTTGCTGTATCTTCAATGTTGTTGGATTCATTTTGTAAGATTTATCATTTATAAATTTGTATTTCTGTTTTAATAAATAAATATTTACACATGATTTGTCATTGCCCCTGTTGAATCTTTATTCATAATCGATTATAGATATTTCATTTCCTCTTCTGAATTACGGGCCCATCTTTTTTACACTAGTATATACAGGGTGGCATTGAGATAAGTGCAAATATTTCAAACACTGAGAAAGCTCGACGTGTACTATCCAATGGCACTAATAAAAAAAATTTAGGGAGCAGAATAAAATTCGAGTTTAGACTCCTTTTTCCACTCAAAGTTCTACACTGTAGCAAATCTGACGTCACCTCTGTTCAAATTTCCATTTTGTAGGCACAATCACGCGGATTTCAATCATTCAACTTGTTTCATAGTGGCGTACTTGATTTTTTTTTCGTATTTTGTTCAATTTTTGGGATGAAATTTTCTCGTTAATTAGAATTAGAAAAAAACTGATATCATGGAAATATTCCTTAGACTGTATCTTATCAATATGCTGAATGTGCTGCACTTATTTCAAAAACACCTTGTATATAAATATGGATAATTATGAAAAGAGACACATTCGGTGATTTTTCTAACATACAGATATTCTTAGAGTTGGTTGGTGAGGTGATTTTATGAACAGGATTTTAGCCCTTCACATTTTTGATCATTCATTAGGTATTATTGATCTTAAAAATTTCCAAATACTGAAGTAAAATTATCTGTGCAGTTCAACTATGAAAACAATCCCTTGATGTACAGGGTTGATAAATTTCACTATACGATATTCAGAAGCGTGAAGTTATCCCTTACAAACTTTGATATTTGTCCACCCTGTGCATAATAATGTTTATGGAGCTGTATATGGTATCTGATGAGTAATATTCAAGGGTGATGGTGATTCTTCAAAAAGTCGAACTCACAAAATATGGAAATGATCTAAAGTTGATACATTTTATATTCAGAAGTGTGAAGTTATCCCTTACAAACATTGATATTTGTCCACCCTGTGCATAATAATGTTTATGGAGCTGTATAATGTTATCTGATGAGTGATATTCAAGGGTGATGGTGATTCTTCAAAAAATCGAACTCACAAAATATGGAAATGATCTGAAGTTGATATATTTTTGCTAGATTGTCAGCGCCGATTATGTTAGTTGGAAAATAATTACAAACCCTCAAAATGATTGATGTTTGCCAACAAAAAGATATGCTTAAAACACATTTTATTGCCCAAAGTTCAGGTTCAAAAGAAAATATTACAATGTGGAAGCCTTATAATTAACAATTTTTTTGTATCTAACATTGCTAGCTCTGTATGTGGTCCTATAATTCTTTTTAGGAATGAGCACACGCAAAAAATCGAAACTCATTTTGAACCTCTTCAAACTGAAATTGATCTTGGATTTTTCATGTCTCAGCTCTTCTGGTTTCTCTTTCTTTTCAATGGGATGCAATAGTTCATTCATATGATTACAACTCTTTGAGGAATGCAAAGAATGGATTTCTCTTGCAGTGTTTAGAGCAGTACTAGCTCCAGAGCTACTAAATTTACTCAAATCGTCATCACAGATATCAGGGAATTTGAAATATGTTTTATTGGAGATTAATACTGAAATTGATTCATTTTCATCATTACTCTCTCTGTAGATCAAACTTCTAGGGGTATAGTCTGTCCAGACAGGCTGTTTTTTATTATCTTTGAATGTTGACATATATTCTGAAAATTAAAATTCCTATTTTACTATGAAAGTACTTTTTCGATTATCATCAATAAACAAACATACTAACTTTTCTCAGTGGATATTTGGTTATAATCTTCCCACCTGAAAGTCTCATAATCATCATAAATGTATTCCTCAACTTTTTTAACAGTATTCTCTGTTTCTCTCATCACATCATCCCACCCAGTATACTCATTCTCATCTAGCATACTATGAAAATTAACCATACTATCCCTTTCATTTGAAACATCATTGTTTTCACTATCTTCATGGTCATGGTGAATACTGGTATCAGGATTCCAAGATGTATCATTGATCAAGGCAGTAAAATACCTATCTGATGAATAGTAGTGATTATCAATAACAGAGCTGTTTGCAAGGGGTACAATACTTCCTGAATCATCCAAATTTATATCTGTTTGGCAGTATGTGTTAGTTGTTTCAGTTAGTTCAGTTTGACAAGACTTGTGGGTGCAACAAGACTGTTTAGGAATGTTTAGTGAACCAGTTTGGCAGCAAGTTCTCAATGGAGATAAATTAGTTGAATTCTCAAAGACATCATAATTTCCATTTATAAAGTTCACTTGGCAGTAGGCATTTCTTTTGAGCTGATAACTAGGCATGTATCTACTTGAATTTTCAGGAATTGTTACATGTCTTTCACATTTTTTAATTATATTGTTCCATTTTGATAATAGATATATGAACAGGGGAAATACCTTTCTATCCTACAATAAAAAAATATTCAGTTTGATGCTGATAGCAAGGTGCAAGTCCTCACTAACATCTCTGTGGCCAGGTCTGTAGGGTCTGATAAATACTGAACCACAATAATATTTGGCCAAGCATACAAAATTATGTTTATGTAAGACTCCAAATCTAAAAGCTATTTTCCTTATGAAATTTACAAGGGTAGTTAGCAGAAGAAAATGTTCTGTGGGTAGGGAATCTATATATCTGCAAAAATTAATTGATCAATCCCTAGATCCACAAAACAGAAATAATATTCCTTTTTGTCAAACCAAGGTGAATAATGTACTTAGTATAGGTACCTTGCAATAGAGTTATTCACTTGGTAATTTGAATTGGCATCATATTTATTATGGGAAAGCACCATTTGACACTTCTTTCCCAGATTTTCCCAGTCATAGGTGAATTTGTGGAAGTATTTTGGTAATAATGGAATAGGAAGTAATCCTAAAAAGTGTCTAATCAGCCAGAAATATGAGCCTGGTGATTGATAGTCACTCATGTTGCAGGGTACTTGGAAAATCAGCTCCTCTTTCATATTGAAGCAATCTTCTAGGGAGCCTTGAAAAAATCTACAAAATACCAATTTATTGATACCCAATATTTCTAGAATCTTGATGAAAAGTAAAATATTATGATGCCTTCTGACAGTATAGATATGCTCACTTGAGGGTGTGCTCCATATCATGAATATCACTCAATGTATAGCAATTGAATGCTGCGTTGAATAAATGCTAAAATAAATTAATTGAAATAAAATATCAATGAGCCAACTTCTTTCTTACTTTTAAACGGGGGTGGATATCATTTGGGGGTGAAATATCTTCCAGAGGCACACCAAAGTCGAATCTGAAACAAAACAGACCAAATCGAGGTAAAATATTCAATATATTACTAATATGTTACCTATAATTGTTAGAAATCGTTTGGGGGCACGCATTCATTTTTATTGGCATTTTTAGTTATATTAAAATAAAATATAAAATATCTCAAAAGCTTCAGAAAATATTTGAAAGTTGGGTACTTTGCTAAAAAATCAAATCGGTGGAACATTTGAACTATTCGCATTACCGAAACAGTTAGAGCCTTGGTGAAAAAAGATTGTTTCAAATTAGAAGATGACGAAAATATGTGGTTATGATATTTATTGTTTTGATTATGTGTGGGTTCTGCTTGATTTTGAAATTTTGAATATTATTATGTCTCAACATGTTTCTTTTGAATCTAAATTCATTAAAACAGATGTGACTGCAATAAGGATACTAAGAAATGTAGTACTTGTTGGTAAAATACTGTAGTTTTTGTTGAATATAGAAAATAACTATGTTCATTCTAGGAGCTGGTGCAGCTATTCATGTTTTTCAAAGAAATTGCCCCTGGCGATTGATCTATAAACAGGAAATAAGAAACACAAGAGGAGAAAAAATACATGGATTCATTCCATTTCAGAAAAATAATCTCCTAGTCTTTGGTGGACCATTCATCATTATCTTCAATGTCAATCATGATTTCACATATTTTGAAGAGTTGATATGTAAGGGGTTCTCTGACTGGATTTTAGATGCCAAGCTCATAGATGAGGACAATAAAATTGTTGCAGTTTCTATGCAAAATAAACTGCACATTTTGAATTCAAATTTAGAAATACTGGAAGTTATTGAATGTATAGAAAAATGTATTTTGTATAGTGCTCATATTTGTTATGATAAATATGAAGAACTGATTATTCTTTCTGGTACTGTTTTTAGTGAAATTTTGATATGGAGACCAACAAGAAGGAAAAATAATGAATGTGTTTTACTGGCAAGACTACAAAAGCACAAGGTAAAATTTAATGGATACTTAAGTTTGAATGATGTGTTAATTTATTTTCAGGGTGTTATATTTTCTTTGCATTATGATGAAAAATCTGGATACATTTGTTCTTCTTCTGATGATCGTTCAGCAGTACTGTGGAACATCCCTCACAAGACCCTTTCTTTGGAAGTACAACAAGACACAATTAACATTTTACCAAAATGCCAGGTCTATGGACACTTATCAAGAATTTTTAGATGCCAAGTTCTAACTGAATGCTTCATAACTGCTGGGGAAGATTCCATACTGAATGTTTGGTCATTAGATGGCAAATTAGTCAAAAAAATAGAAACTCACCAAGGAGGTCCAATTTGGTGTTTAGATTGTGATGAACTTGGAAATATCATAACAGGTGGTGGTGATGGTGGAGTCACTAGTTTCTCATTGAATTTTGATGTTTCTGATGAAAAATTAGCATTACCAAACAGTGAAAAGCCTAAATTAGTAGTGGCTCTGAGTACCCACAATGTAGTAGTCATATCTGATAGTGGGGATCTCTATTTGTACTCTCAAAAAAGTAGTTGCTGGTTCAAAATAGCTGAACATGAAGATTTGGGAAGCTATGTTGTATTGGATGTTTCAAAATGTAAAAACATGATTGCTTTAGCAGGTAAATACCTATGGATTTCATTTGATAATTTTCTCACATATACCTAAGCATATTGTTTCCAATTATAATAGCTTCAATGACTATTTTCTGTTGCAGGCTTCAATGGACAAATATATATCTACAAAGTTACTAGTAATAGTATTCAGTATATTTCCAGTTATCAAACATCTATAAAATCAAGAATAATATCCTTACATTGGCTAACTTGTGAATCATTTCTAATCTGCCAAGACCAGGGGAAGCTCAGCTTGATATATTTGAAGAAAGAATCTATGTGTCAAATTGCAACATTTTCATTACCATCAGGTATTCAGCCATGTACAACTACAGCAGCTATTTTTAAAGACTATATTGTTGTGGGAGATAGAAAAGGGGCTTTGCATTTATACAAATTTGGTGAAAAGTATCCTTTCCAAACCATGAAGAGAGTGCATAGTCATTTAGGAGTTACCAATTTGATCACAAAAAATGATAGGTTGATATCTCTAGGAAGAAATTCAGTTATCAAAACATTTGCATTATCTCATACAGGTTTATTAGAATTGATTTCATCAGATAAACTGCCATTCACTTGGTTATTAGATTTGTTTGATAATATAGTGACAGCATTTTCTAGTAATAACTTCCTGATCTGGGATTACCAGTCTAAGAGAATTCTATTTGAAAAAAGTTGTGGAGGTGGTCATAGGTCTTGGGACTTAGTAAAAAGCGGAAATAGTATCATGTTTGTGTTTGTAAAAGATAAATTGATAAACAAAGTGGAATTTGATTTCAGTGAAGTCATGCCCTATGATTTGATTGAAGGCTTTCATTTGAAAGAAATCAATAGTATACAAACTTTAAGGTACTTGGATAATTATGTTTTGGTATCCGGTGGTGAAGATACCACTTTGAGAATAAATATTGCCAATTCAAAAAACAAAGAATTCCATAATAGTCTCACCCTCAAATCACATTTATCAAGTATCAGATCAATAGCAATTTACCGAATTGACTCAAAGATAGATAACCAAGAGGTTCATTTAATTTTTTCTGCTGGAGGAAGAGCACAAATAATCTGCTGGAAGCTTGAGTGTTTTTTTGAAAATGGTCAGCTAACAAATTTAGTTTGTAGTGAACAACACTCCTACTACAAAGTTATAAACAGTGAGGAATCGGAAATGAGATTCATGCATCTTTCTGTGGCTGATATTTCTGGTAATGTTGTTTTATTTTGTGCTTGTTCAGATGGGAATATAAAATTGTTCACTGTTGAGCAAGAGGAGAAATTCACAATGAAGTTTCTCAAGAATTTATTTTATGGCTTGAGATGCATTTTTTTGGTTGATACTTTAACAATTTTGAATCAAAAAATTCTTGTGACAGCAGCTACAGACGGTAAACTAGCCTTCTGGCAGTTGAACAACATATTCAATGGAGACAATTTTAAACCTTTTCATACTATACAAGTACATCAGTCTGGAATAAACGCCTTCGCAAAAATAGCATTGAATGACAATCATCTCTTATTTTTAACTGGAGGTGATGATTGTGCAGTTATCCTGAACTATATCGGTTTTTCATATTCTGTTGAAGGGTTTTTGATTATTGAAGAAATCGATAAATTTATTGATACAGGCAGTCATTGGGCTCAAATAACTGGTTGCTTTTTCAGCCCACAATATTTTATGACCGCATCTGTGGACCAAAGATTGTTGATTTTCAAATGGGAAGTTAGTGCAGAAAAAATTATTTGTAAACTTGTTTCCAAGTATAATACTTCTATTCCGGATTTGAAAGGAATAGTTTGTTTCGAAAATGGTGATTTCAATATTTTTCTTTACGGGAAAGGAATCGAATATATTTTTTCTAAAATTTCATGATGGGAAATAAAATTTTATGAACATTCATTTTTAATTTTTCCCACTTTCCCCCAGTAAAGTAAATTGAAAATTCTTGATCCCAACGAAATAGAAGTAGATTGTAGATTACTTCTTATTATTTATGTAGCTATCTGGCTATGACGGGCCATAACTACTATGGCTATATGCTACCCAAACTAAACAGCACAGCTGTCTGAAAAAAGTGTTCCATGTCTCCAAATTTTTTGTATTTTCATTTGTAATTTGGTGTTTCGTGGCATATTTTTGGTGGTGTGAGCTGTGAAGGTTGAAATCTAATCACATCCAATTTCATATAATTTTTTTCATTTTAGGCGCATCTAGTAGAAACCAAAAAAATGGTTTTGGAAAGTACTATGATCTGGTAAGTCCAACTGATGAACAGTCTACATTTTATGCAAATTTGTAATACCCCTAACCTGAAAATGCATAATGACTAAACAAAAATTTTACAATTTACAATATTTTCAGTGTAGACAATAGCGATTATATGAGGAATGGCGACTTTCTTCCAAGCAGATTACAAGCTCAACAAGATGCTGTAAACCTAGTTTGCCATTCAAAGACCAGGTCAAATCCTGAGAACAATGTTGGTCTCCTAACCTTAGCAAAGTAAACACCTTTGTTTCAATCCCCTGAAAAAGTGTAACAAGTTTATTTTTAGGGTAGAAGTGTTAGCTACCCTTACCAGTGATGTTGGTAGAATTTTATCAAAACTACATCAAGTTCAACCAAATGGTGAAATCAATCTTCATACTGGAATCAGAATTGCTCATGTAAGTATAAACATACATAGTAATAAAACTCTATATCTATTATAACCTGGTGATTGCCAGCTGGCTTTAAAACATCGCCAAGGGAAAAATCACAAGATGAGGATTGTGGCATTTGTTGGAAGTCCAGTAGCTAATGAAGAAAAGGAGCTGGTTAAGCTTGCTAAGAAATTGAAGAAGGAGAAAGTAACTGTTGATGTTATCAGTTTTGGTGAAGACACTATCAACTCTGATGTTCTTACTACATTTGTCAACACTTTGAATGGGAAGGTAGGTGTAGTATTATCCAAATACTTAAATTTCATTGATCTTCATGTATTGAATTTTTTAGGATGGTGCTAGTAGCCATTTGGTGACAGTCCCACCTGGACCTCACCTCTCAGATGCATTGATTTCTTCACCTATTATACAGGGTGAGGATGGTACAGGTGGTGCAGGCCTTGGTGGGTCTGGGTATGAATTTGGAGTTGATCCTAATGAAGACCCTGAACTGGCATTGGTAAGTAAATGTTAATGACCTATTCAAAAATATTTTGACTGTTGAAATATCTATTTATAGTGGCATTGATTTTTGCAATCCAGTACTTTTTTTTCAAATGTCTCAATGTTCTGACCATTTTGAAACCAGCTTTGAACATGATTAGAACTGGACAAGATAGTAAACCATATTTTTTTAAAAGCTCTTATTTAACTTGCAATGTATGGATTGATGTGGAATCTTTGAACCAGAATTTCTATTTGTACTAGAAATCACTCCGAAATTGTACTAAATTCATACAATCATAAGATGAAATAGATGACTCAAACTTCAAAGTCCAATCAATTCATCAATAACATATGGATAACAGCTCTCTGTTTCTCCTTTGAATTGGAAATTATGGACTTTTTATCAATTAGGGCAACATTAGGATTCCAATTATAACATATCTTCTCCAAATAATTGTTTTGTATACAATAATAGCTCCAGCTATCCTGGTTCTTGTTTTTGTACTAGATTAGTGTTAATTGTGTTGATGTACTAAATGTGTATGAAATGTACTAGACAAGTGCAATACTACTGAAAACGGCAACTCTGCTTTGAATGAAATTTTGTATGTGAAGTTATTCCAAATCCAATATGGCGGACCATCCAATATGGCGGACCATCCAAGATGGCGGAATAGTTATGTTTAATGCACTTCTACAATATGGGTATAAAATGAAAGGGCTCCTTGGAGGAAATTAATGTGACATCGTTCTGAATTCAATATGGCGAACCATCCAAGATAGCAAAATAGTTTTTTTAATGCACTTCCACAATATAGGTATCAAATGAAAGGGATCGTTGAGAGTAACTCGAAAAATAATATGACGTCAATTGAAATCCAATATGGCGGACCATCCAAGATGGCGAAATTGTTATTTTTAATGCACTTCCACAATATGGGTATCAAATGGAAGGGCTCGTTGAGAGTAACTCGAAAAATAATGTGACGTGATTCTGAATCCAATATGGCGGATCATCCCAAATGGCAAAATAGTTATTTTTAATGCACTTCCACAATATGGGTATCAAATGAAAGGACTTGTTGGGAGTAATTCGAAAAATAATATGACGTCAGTTTAAATCCAATATGACAGACCATCCAGGATGGCGTGATAAATATTTTTAATGCACCTCTACAATATGGGTATCAAATGAAAGGGCTCGTTGAGAGTAACTCGAAAAATAATGTGACGTGATTCTGAATCCAATATGGCGGACCATCCAAGATGGCGAAATAGTTATTTTTAATGCACTTCCACAATATGGGTATCAAATGAAAGGGCTCGTTGAGAGTAACTCGAAAAATAATGTGACGTGATTCTGAATCCAACATGGCGGATCATCCCAAATGGCGAAATAGTTATTTTTAATGCACTTCCACAATATGGGTATCAAATGAAAGGACTTGTTGGGAGTAACTCGAAAAATAATATGACGTCAATTTAAATCCAATATGACAGACCATCCAGGACGGCGTGATAAATATTTTTAATGCACCTCTACAATATGGGTATCAAATGAAAGGGCTTGTTGAGAGTAACTCGAAAAATAATGTGACGTCATTCTAAATCCAATACGGCGGACTATACAAGATGGCGGAATAGTTGTTATTCATGCACTTCTGCAATATGGATGTCAAATGCAAGGGGTTGACAAGAATAATTAGAAATAACTATTTTCTACAAACGTCAAAAAATTACAAGGTTCGCGCATTGATAACAAATTGCGAAGTGACACTTTTTTTCAGTTTCCTACATTACCATGATTACAAACAATGCGCGAAGTAAAACATTCCGCGAAGTATCTACTTCGCGCATTGTTATGTAAAATATATGAGATATTTATATTTCAACTCCATGGTCCTCAATCGAGCAAACATCCACGAAATTTTTTATTTCTGAATGTTCAACAATAACTGTTTCATCTCTTGGAGCGCACGAAAGGATATTCCTATTAGGTTCGTGGAACATCGTGCGTACCTAGGGAGGATAGGGGGAGGCCTTTTAAGCCAGTTCAACACTATTTTTTATATCAAGCTGAGCGTATTTTTACTTTTGAACTATACTTTTTCACGTTTGTAGAAAAAATGTTGTTTGCAACTCGAGCGCAAAATACTTTGGTCATCTCGACTATTTTTTTAACTCGGCTACGCCTCGTTAAAAAATTCAGATCTCGATCACCAAAGTAGCATTTCGTGCTCTAGATACAAAAATAACTATTTTAGGCTCTACGTGTTTCTATGGAAGAACAACGTCAACGTCAAGAAGACGAGGCTCGTAGGGCAAAAGACGTGTCTAGCACTGAAGATGGTGTCAAGTCAGAGACCACTAAAGATGAGCATACAGAGGAAGCTCTTCTTGAACGAGCTCTAGCAATGTCCATGGAAACTGGTGAAGACACAAGAGTTGTTGTGAGCAAGCCTCCTGTGGATTTTGCCAACATGACTGAGGAAGAACAAATTGCTTTTGCTATGCAAATGTCCATGCAGGATGCACGTGAGTTCATTTTGTTTTGATAAAATTTAGTGACAATAGGTTACTGTAAAAAGAATTCGGGAAATTTCATTGCTTTTGTGTCCAGTGATTATTTGTATTATTTGTGATATGACTTGAGGTAAGTAAATTGAAGGTGTGACAGAATTACCTATGTGTGATTCACTGCAGAGTGTGCCTTTATAAGCTTTAATTAGTTTTTTTGGGATTAATAAAATGAAGGAAAATATACGGCGGCAACACCGAAAGGTTGCTAGGTTCGATCCCCGGCAGAGCAGAGACTTTTTATTCATAAAATGAGTTCTAATTCTTGTAACTTCGGCCGGGGATAAAGTCAGCACGTTTTGCTGCTGCGTTCCAATCAACAGTGCTACTCTTAATGTGGCCTATGGAGTTAGTAACAAAGCTTACACAGAAGGACATCTTGTAAGGTGTTGATGGCTAGTGGGTATATACATACATACCAACAAAGTATATATACTTACCCCACTTGAAGAAAAACATGAACAAGGCATTTAAGAAATTGTAAGGAATTTCCTTGGGAATTCCATGATTTACCAGTAGTTTTAAAGAAATCCAATAATTCCCAGGAAAAATCACTATTAATCTAATGGAAATTCATGGATTCCTAAGAATTTTTTAAGCATCCTCAAGAATTTCACGGAAAAATAATTTCTACAAAAGTTTTATTAATTATACAAAATGCTGAGTATTAAATGATAATTCAATGTAACCCTGAGTAATTCTACATGATATTACAACACAGGACTGTGGGCGTTGTCTTGTGCATTCTTCACAGCATTGCCAAGTCTATTTGCGGTAGTCAAGGTCATCATCTGACGTTGCGATGACGTGAAAATTACGGGAAAACAGGTCCAACTTTCAATCTTAGCCAGGAGTTAGCAGTATTTTCCCATAGGTTTTCATGTCATCACAACGTCAGATGCTGATCTTGACTACCAGGAATGGCCAATATTTACATGATGTTTTGTTATGGAGTGTAAGAAATATATTCACAAGCTGGTTGCTTGAAAAAGTCACAAATTAATAACTATATCATTGCTTCTGCCTGTTAGGTCAAATGAAATATTTAATCTTGATATAGTTTTATACAATGACCAGGCTCTAACAACTTTCACTAACTTGATTATAATTGGTGACTGGATAACCTTGCTTCATGAGTGGGAATGGAAGATTATCTGACTAATAA